TCCCTCAGCCTTCTAGAGCAGAGTGGAAAAGAGGCCAAATATGAAACAGGTATAAATAAACATAGCTGCATTGGAGCTGCTGAACAAAACCCAGATGTCAATGACCAGCAGTCTTTATGCCAGCTGAAACCCTTTTGGACTGGTCTTTGCAAACACAGGTGGTGCCAGACAGGGGCTTCATGCTTTGTGCATGTGTACAGATTGAAAATCTCTGCACTGCACGCAGCTTGTCATGCAAAGTGTACACTGCTTGTTGTGCAGAGATCTTTCTGCCTCCATTTCTAATTCACTCACCGAATCATCCCCTTTCAGCTAGGTGTAGTTCACCAAGGGGGAACGGGCTCCGTTTTTGCCACAAAAATGAGTTAGTACGAGTAAATGATTGACCTCATGTGTCTTATTGTCCTGGCAGATAAATAGATTAGTCAGGAGAGGGGATCTCTAATCTGTTAAGATTGTAACTCTAAAGGGGAAATGTGTGAGAGAGGAACAGATAGTGCTGGGGTTTATCTCTATGGTGAGACTCGAACTGTTATTTTGTGATAGCTTCTGGTATTTAATCTGCACTGCAGTGCAATTTTACATTGCTCTTTTTAGGGTGGTGAGGAGGTAGTACAGAGTAGCTTTTGCACTTCAAATCTCTGTGGGCTTATCTTTCAGTATCTTCGCTCGAGCTTGTTCAGTGAATTTAAGTGTTGTCAGAACTTGGAGCATGCAGCATTTAGTTTTGCAGTGTGCATGATAACTAAGGCACCGGCAAGCAGATGGCAGCAGAAGTGTGGCAAATTCAGGTGTTCTCACTAACATCTCTGAACTTCATAGTGTATATGTTTTCTGAGTCACTGGTTATATGAATAAACATAATATGTTTAAGAAAAAGTAAAACATAAATGCGTTTATCTGTCTTTCTGTCTATGTACAAAACGCAGTGAATCATTTAACCATTCGTCTAGCTCTTGCTGATTTCACTGAAGCCAAATCAACTGACACAGCTAAAATTTGTCTCACATTTTATGAGAGAATTAATATTTATGAGAGTGAATATTTATTCAGTTAGTTTAAAAATAAGGTGCTGTTAATTACACCACTTACCAAACCTATATATTCAAATGGGGTTGACTGAACTAGTCATGGCAAACAATTTCTTCGTTAGAACCAGATCTCTGTGCAAAGTTTCCATTAACCAACCTTGACTGGAAACATTTGTGCAAAACCTCTTTAATAAGCCTATTTCAGCTTATTTTTTCTGGTAAATTCTTGATACTGAAGTTTTTTTTCTATATCTTCCAGGCGATTGAATGTCGAAGTCACGTGGTGAGATACTGTTCCCTGGTGACCTAACTTTTATAAACAGTTCTTGGAAAACGTTAGGGCACTGTGTTTCTTGGGAGAGAGAGTAGCCAACAAAATACAGGGAGGGTCATCATAGAAGATAGATAGGTTTAAGAAATAATAGCTTACACTGTATTTTTCCTGCCTCCTGTAGCAGAAGGAAGAAATGTTTATCTGACTAACTAGGCCGACCCCACAGATTTAGAACTGCTACGTGTTTTAGTTTTAATAATGCTATATATATTCCTAATATAGAAGGAAAGATAAGCATTAGCTGGGTTTATTGTCCAACAAGCTAATTTTGAGCATTTAATGTGAAGGTTTCTTTCTTCCTTTCTGGCAATGCAAAGGTGAGTCAGGGTAGTTCAGCATGAAGCTTCCTTGCACTGCTAAAGTGGTGCAAAGCTGCTGTTGCCCACAGGAGTTCGTCTTTGTATTAACTCTGTGTGCATCACTAGGTGCTTGGCTATCGGTTCATTTTCTCCGTGACCAGAGCTGCTTCTTAGTGGTTCTTCCATTTCCCTGTGACAGTGACAAGAAGGCTGAATGTCTTCATCCCTGTGAGGAACATACTACTGGAGCTCACAGATGACTATCTCTTTCCACACCCGCGAACAGTGCACTTTATAGGTGCTGCACTGTTTTCTGAACCTCTCAAATATATTCTCCTTCCGAGGCTGAGGATGATAGAGTCCTGCAAATTGGAGCACTTCTGATTACATATTGTGAGAGGATCTTCATGTGCCAGGCTGCCCACGGGGACCAAGTGTTTACTGGGATTTCTCTGAGCAGAAGGTGGTGCTGGTTGGTACTGAGGCATGAGATGTAGCCATAGGGGAGGACAAGTCGGTTGTATGAATTCAGTGCTCAGAGATCTACAAGTATCCATTATTTCCAGAGTCTCATCACTTCTTTCTCAGCAGCTGGCACAGTGGAGGTGTCTCTCATTTTTAAAATAATCTAAATCATTTTAACACATGCTCTAACTAGGTAGAACTTTCTACTTTTTTTTATATTCTCCGTCCTGACCACTGCCTGTGCTAAGTGGCAAGCCCTGAGATATGTATTGGAAAGCACCGGCAACTCATTTTTATCCTTTTTTCTGTCTGGAGCAAGGAAAGACAAGGTTGCTGAAGGAGAGAATGAAAAATAAAAAAGGCTCATTTGCTGGTGTCGCTCTCCCTGTGAAAAGGAACTTGTCACCTAAACTGAGCACAACATCGAAAGTCCCCTGCCAAAGAAATGAGAAAATGTAGTTTGTTTTGCAAGATTTTCCTCACTTTATTTGACTCTCCACTGATGGGCAAGACCCATACTGTGAAGTGGATCTACTGTGTTCCTGTGGCAGAAAGGGAAAAAAAAGCAGGCAGGCCAGGGGCCCAGTGCACTGCAGTGCCATGGGTGATCCTGGGGAAGCTCAGCTTTTTTCACCCTTCCCCTTCTCTCCTGGCCATGTGCTCCAGTAAAGCCAGGTCTAGTCACATCTCTGTGCATGTTGGAAAGGAAAGCTGGTGTTCTTTCCCCCATAACATGAAGACCTATAAAAACTTTTAAGGACAGGGACACAAACCAAGTGGCTACAAGCTATGTAGATCTTGTGTCGAAGACCCACAGATCGAAATTGTCAACAGGGAGCAGCCAAAGGTCATTGCAGGAGTAATGGCAGCAGTCCTGGACATTTTTTCCCACTGAAAATTGAAGTATTTAATCTGGGTATGGAGGAGAAGTCTAATTCTGTAAGTTACAATAACAGTTAGCTGTGGTTTAGTGGGTTTTCTGATGCGTTAATGAGAACGGCTGAAAATGTTCAAGATTTGGTCTGCACTCTGTAAAGATGTCTTTAAAATCATTCCAGTAATATTTAGATTAGTATCTCCTGCTGTAATACCAACAGCTTTTAGACAGAAAATAGAAGAATGCTTAAAAATGCTAGGCAAACAGCCAGTTTGTGTCATCATTCAGCTGTGAACCAATTAGCTCAAGAGTCACTGGTAGATGAATCCTAAATATTTTTTTTGCATCCCTACTGGAATGAAGGCTCTGCTAAAAACAAACCTTGGTTCAGTTCTCCCTGGAGCAGAGCTCTATGTACAGTTTTTCTGGTGAAAATCTGAGCTCTTGGAAATTAAATCCTGAATCCACTGAAGTGAGTAGGACTAGCGTTTCACCTCCTCTGCATTAAATGTCCTTCCATGATGAAAATTCCTTGGAAGAAGGTGAATGATGTAAGCTGTGACATACTTGAACTAGCACACTTTGGGGAGAGAGGTTGTGCCCAGCACAAATGAGCACAGCATCAAAGCCCTGTGCATTTCTAGAGTGAGGTGATGTATCAACGTCATATCGATCTCAAATGAAATCTTGTGCATTGAGGGTGATGCACACAGAAATAGCTTCTGTATTGTGGACATCTGTCATAAATTTCAGTGTTTCAGTATTATTTCAGAACATGTTTGAAATGCCAGAATTTCATAGAATTTAGAGAACTTCTATCTTCTGATGAGTCCTGGCCGCAAATGTAGCCAAAAATACATGAAAAACATCTGCTGTCTGAAGATGCTGTTTTTTTTTTTTCACCTGACTCGTTTTACAACCTTGCTCTAAAAATGGTCCCCAGATATCTCAACAGGCAATAAATAAAATTCCAACGAGACATTAGAAAAAAATAAGTTCAAGCCAAATTTTAGCACATCTGTATAGATCAGAGATACATACTGAGGGGAAAGGGTGAAAGGATAGTTGATGTAACCAGTAATTGTGGCAATGAAGTCAATTTGAATCCTGAACCTGGAATCTCACTGCTCTCTTGGATTCCATGGCAGCCATGGTCCTCGAGAAAGCTTTAGTGCTCTCAGAGTGGCCCAGTCAGGCCGTAGCAAAGAAACTGAAGAACCCCAAGAGCAGCCTGATCCTCCGTCTCTGTGTAGCAAAGGTGGGTGGGGAAGGGCTTCTGCCCAGAACGGTGACAGTCTCCACTTACCTATGTCGCCCTTGCATGGCTTCGCTTCCTGTCACACTCCTTCCTCTTTGATTGCTGCTGCTCCTTCCCTCTGTCCTTCTGAAACGTGGGCTGAGTGAGTGGGAGAGCAAGTAAGATGAACGGTGGGTATCTCTGGCAGTTTTGAGAAGTTTTGGCAGGTCCTTTCTCAAAGGGTTGCACCTCCAGAAGATGTTTTTCATCAGTGCAATTCCTGGGTAATCCTGGAAGTTGTGGACCCTTCCTCATCAGGTGAAAAAAACCATCAGCAATGCAGCTTTCTGTATTAACAGCTTGCAGCAGACAGAGCATGTTACATAGTAGATCTTGCACAAATACCTGCAATTGCATGGTTAGAGCTCCACTTCTGCCCAAGTGGTCCTCAGTAGTGATAGAATGTCAGGAAACTGTGCTTGACTCCCAGACTTTTTATTTCTTTAGATAGTTCTGATGTCTGTCCTGAAGGGCTCTAATTGCTGCTTGGATTTTAAATACATGAAAGAAATAATGCGCCCGGACTTGAAATGAGGAAAGAAGAAAATGGCTGGAGTGATGCAGATAACTCTCTTAGACAAATTCATAGTAGTGGTAATGTATATGAAAACATTCAAACTTTGAAAATTAATTCTGTGAAAAATTAAATATTTTTTTCAGAAAATATTTTTCTTTTTTAAAAAAAAATCATTAAAAAAGTCAAACTTCTCTTAAATGAACAAAATCCTTCTTTCCTAAAAATTTTCGTTGCCTTTTCCAAGCCAGCTTGTTTTTCCTTCGAAAAAGAGGAAGAATGAAAAGGAAATAAATGGGCAAAAAGATTTGTTGTTGATTTCCCTTCTAACTTGATTTCCTTTATTCTGGTGGAAAAGTTAAAAACATGTTTTAAAAAGAAATAATAGATTTTTTTTCCTCAAACCAATTCTCTGAATCTGCTCTCTCCTGATTCTGCATCTGTTTCTCATTTTGTCTTTTATTGTTTGTTTTAAAACCTGTTTCAAAGTACAAAACTTCAGAGGCTGCATACAGAAACTTGCAACGTCAGGGGATTTTGGTACATCCCTACTGTTTGGAAAGGTTTTCTGTTTGTAATATGACCTTAAAATATGATATTAGAGAAGAGTAAGGAGGTTTACCAAATTGTTGGAAGCAATTTGAGAATTCTGTTAGGCTCCAAGTGAATGTGTAAACTCTTGCGCTGTTACTCATTAGGATATGTAATGCATTGCTTTCTGGCACAGGTATTTCCAGGGAATTCAAAGTTACTGAGCAGATATAAGCTGTCTCTTAATGATATAGAATGTGTTCCTTGAATTTGCTATGGAAGAGTTTAATTTCAAAAATCAATACATTATTCTAGACATTGCTCCATTCTTCTCAAGATGTCTTTTTCAAGTTATGCCCAACACTTTCCACATATATAGTTTCACTTGTACACTTTCCCTCCCCTGTCAATTAAACCTTATGTGAAGGCATGCTTTGTGAGTCATATTTCCACAGTAATGGAAAAGACAAAAGCAAATTTTGGGACCAGGTAACCCAGAGCTTTTATCACTGCTATCTTCTGCAGAGCTTTCACAGTTCATAAAACATACTCTTTTGGTTTTATCCGAAGTACTTTTCATTGCATTTCAGGTGAATCAGTATCCTGAAATGTTTTTTACCTTGCTGTGCAACAGATTGTGA